ACTTGATATTTCTGTTGTCATGTCAGATAACCAAACAGAGTGGTTAAGTAACATGACCACATTTACGTAACAAGCAAGCGGCAGAGCTTGGCTTCTAGCCAGGCCTGCGGGGAGCCAGCGTGTTGGGCATGCCCACAGTAACTTCTCTCAGCGCTTCCATCAGTCTGCTTGATCCTTCCCACCAGGAAACTGTGCAGGAATTATCACGCTCGAGGACACTGGGCCTCAGAGGGACTAAGCAGCAGGTCCGAACCACATAAACTCCCAGACCAAGTGCACTGCCCTCCAGTTGATGCCGACTCATTGTGACCCTATAGGACAGGGTAAACCGCTCCTGTGAATCTCCCAGATGGTAACGCTTTTCTTAGAATAGAAAGCCTCCTCTTTCTCTCTCAGAGAGGCTGGTGGTTTTGAACTGCTGACCTCGCGGTTGGCAGGCCAACAAGTACCCACTACATCACCAGGGCTCCTGTAAACCACACCAGCCACTGGCGGTCTTACAGGGCCTCTGATGCAGCTCAAGAGCTCAGGCTGTCTCCAGCTGGGTGGGTCCCAGAGGGAAATGAGGGGGAAGACCTGGGGGGGTGGGGTTGTTGCTCCACAGTGGTTGGGTGTTGGAGCTGAGAACTGGAGGTGGGCAAGGGGCAGAGGTGTAAGGGGTGAGCTCGTCCTCACCACTCCCCAGGGATTGCCTGGCCAGCGGGCCGACCTCCAGCTGTCCACCCCCAGGCTCAGGTGGCAGGAAATGGGGACAGGATTCCTGGGGGTAATCTCTGGGGTCCATCCTGGGTCCCTCTTCTCTGTATCTGGAGGGCTGTGGCCAGTGTGGCTGTGGCCTGGCTCAGTGCCCAGGGACCCAGGAGGTGGGATAAATTGTCCCCAGCCAAACCCTTGAGTCCTTAGCCAATTGTCCTCACTAAACCCTTGAGTCCTCAATAAACTGTCCTCAGCCAAACTGAGGCTCTGGAGCGGAATGTAACGTCTCCCCACTGTCTGGAAGGCAGGCTGCACAGGGCGAGAGGACGCTGGGGATGGACATGGACAAGGCAGTGACCAGAAGAGGCCTGGAGACCTCACGCCTATGGAGCCTCCAGCAATGGTCTTTAGACAGCAAGTGCCCCGGTAGTGAGAACAGGTGAGGCAGGTGCAGAGTGGCTGGACCTCAGACTCAGAGTCCTGGGACCCTGAGGCCTGAATGAGAGCTGCCCACGTGAGGTACTTCGAGGCCCAGCAGGGAATCAAGCGGGAGGGGCCACAGTAAGCCCAGCAGAACTATCCGGAGAAAGACGGTGGGCTCCTTCCTCCTGACCCTGCTTCACCAAAACCATCACAGAAGGCGAAGGAGGGTTCTCGTTTTCAGAGACGGCCAGAACACAAGATTCCAGGCCCATTCTTTACCCGTATTCCAGTCGGGTGCCTCCGCCTGCTGGAAGTTCTTCCTGATGTCTAACCTGCTACAGCACTAACTCATGTCCTTTCCTCAATTCTTGGAGAGCAACTGCTGAGGCTTCCGCTGCCCAGCTGGAGGTCTGACCCCACCCTCAAAGCAGATGCCTTGAACAGTTGAGGCTTGCCCAAGGGGTGGTGCCAGGATCAGTGGAAGACCCAGGAGTTGAACTCAGACAGCCAACACCTGGGTCTGAGCCAGGTCTCACCACAGCCTGCCTGCTGATCAGAGGCTCCTCCGCCTGTCCAGGACAGGTGGCAGGGCAGAGCCTGGGGAGCTTGGGTGACACTGGGGCATTTCCTTGGCCTGGTCTTGCCAACCATTCTTTCCTGACCCTGCCTGTCCACCCACCACCACCCCCAAGGTCACATACTTGTGGGCTCTCACCATGCCAGCCCAGATGTCCCTGCTGCCACTCAGCTGTGCCTGGAAAATGGCTTGGAGCCTCACTTTGAAGCGTGTTCAGCCCCCTGCAGATGAGCTGGGGCAGGAGGTGGTGGGGCTGGAGGCGGGCAGAGCAGGGGTGGTTGGACGGGCCTGGAGGACTGGACCAGACAGAGAGCTGAGAGGCGCAGTCCTTGGCTCTGGGGTTCCAAGCCCTTCCCCAGATGGGGTCAATAAAGGTGATTATTCCCATTCCATAAACAAGGAGGTGGGGGCCCAAGACATTTGAGGGACCCCCCAAAGTTTCTCATAGCAGAACAGGGAGTAAGCCCCAAAGCCCCTTGAGCCTAACCCAGGGCTCTCTGTACCACACTGTGCACGGCAGATCCTCCACCCCAGTGTGAATGGGGCACTTTTATGGCTTCCTGTGGCAGACTTTGCCAGAGGATGCCCTGCCCTTAGCCTCTCCTTGGTCTCCTGGGGGCCCACCCAGGGGCTCCCCTCCCTGTGCTGCATGTGCTGCCACGCACGGGCTGGGTCCTGGGCTCTGCAAAGTGACCACTCTCCGGCCATAAGCAGCAGCCTGGACAGGGCGTCTTTCAGAGGCCCAGCTGGGCCATGAGGAAGACCCGATTTCAAAAGGCTCCTGAGAGTGGCCAGCAGGCATGGCAGCAACTTCTTCACAGCCTGAGGGCGGGTCCCTGGGGCCTCTCCGTGTTCATTCGTTCATTCACTCTGTTTGAAAAGGCACCGAGTATCTATCCCCTATGGTCTAGCAAGTAACATTTACTTTCCTGTGAATTTGCTGCCTCAGTTTCTCCCTCTGTCCATGCCCCCTCCCCCACCCCCGTCTGCTCAATATGGGGTGACGACACTGTTTGGGCCTGGCGCCGAATGGGGGCTCCTTGGACAGCTGTGGCTGCTGCGCTCCTGTCCAAGGAGCTGGCCTCTTTCTGGTGCTGACGAGGACTCTGGTGGGTTGAGAAAGTCCCTGGGTTCCTGGGGGGACTTCCCAGAAGCCTCCTCACCTGCATCCTGCCCACCTGGCCACAGCACAGTCCACCCCCATGTGGCCACACCAAGAGGATACTGTTTTGCCAAAACAAGACACTTAAGTTAAGTGGCTCTTGTCACGTCAGTTGACCTTCCCACCCAGCACCCCAGCGTACAACCCCACACAAACTCCCACACATTGGAGCTCAGGGAAGACAGGGTGGGGTGTGCCAGCCCCAGTGACACCAAGCCCACACCAAGGCACCAAGTCTCGGGTGATGGCGGCATGCCTAAAGGTGGCCTTGGTAAAGGGCAGGTGCCAAGGATCCTGAGGTTCTGCACCCTGGGGGTGGGGAAGAGGACACCGTGTCCTGGGCTCACTCCTTGGCCATCTTGGGAACCTCTGAGAAAATCTCCTCTTGAGCCAGCCCCCAAACCTGCTAGCCATTCCTTCCGTGGCCTTGCGCTGATTGGAACCTGCTCCATTGAAGGAAGGCTACCCTACAAAGGGTGGCTGGTTTTTCTTTGAGCCCACTTCAAGCTGTCTTGAGTGGACCATGCACTTCTTCAAGCCTGCCACATGTGAATCCTTTTTAAAATGCACAATCCTTTCGGAGAACAAAGGGATGCATCCAATGTGTCACCCTCCTCTGTGTCATTTCAGAGACAGCCAGGGAAGCAAGAAGGGGCCACCTGGAAGCACTTTTGCCCAAACTTTATCTTCAGAAGGTGAGGACGGCATTTGTCCAAACGTTTAGAGGAGCCAGAACTAGACTTTGGATGATGACATTGGTAATATTTAATCATAACACTGTGATTATACATCTATCTATCTGTCATCTATGTACCATCTATCACTTATCTATCAATCATCTATTTCTCATCTATCTATTATCTATCTATCTAACACTTATCTATCAATCATCTATCTATTATTCAACTATCTTTCTATCTATCACATTTCTACCTAGATAGTTAACAGCATTCTGACCCTCTGGGACAACTAGATTAAGGTCCCCAGCAAGCTGCCAAGGAGCATGTTTCATCTCTGGAACCGGGTGTTGGCTTCACACTAAACTCCTTTCCGCACAGGCATCACCCTTCCTACTCCCCAGAAACTCTGATGAATGCCCGAGGCAAGAGCCAAATGGCCTTGATGAGGTGGGGACCAGAGCAAAGGGATTTCACCGCCATTGAGTCAATTCTGACCCTAGCGAGCCCTATAGGACAGGGCAGAATGTCCCCTGTGAGCTTCCAAGATGGAAATTCTTTACAGAAGTAGGAAGTCTCATCTTTCTCCCAAGGAGCAGCAGGGTGGTTTCAAACTTTCCACCTTGCTGGTCAGCTCCAGAGCAAAGGAGAAGGTGGGAGGGAAAGGCCCACGGAGGCTGAAGCAAAGAGGGGGTGGTTGAGGCTGGAGAAACACAGCTGAGGGTCAGCATAGGCCACCTGCCAATGATAGGCCCGGGCTGGCCCAAGATGCCCCGGAGAGCCTAGCTTTCACCCCGTCAGCAAAGAGCAAAAGAATTTGCAGAGGAACAGAGCACAAGACCCAGGGGGATTTTTATAGTACGAGAAAGATTTCCCTGAAGAAAAGGAAGCTGAGACCCAGTGGAACCACATCGTGATGAGACGCCACAAGGACGCATTTTCCAAGTATGAAAACTACGAAGCCTAAAGAAAAATGACCGCAGGAATTTGAAAAACCTCTTAAACAATGAAATGCTCATAGAACGTCACTTTTTTTTTCTTTTCGTGGATGGTTTAGGAGTTTAATGAAGGGCTAGTTAGGCTGCCCTTGAAGCCATTTAGAAGGCTAACGTTCCACGGTTCTCTGATGATCAGCAGAGTCTATGTAACGATAACGACTCTGCCCAGAAGACTCGGGGGTCATCGAGCTTAGCCGGAACCCAGAAGTCAGCCGCCGTCCTGGGGTGCTGACTGGCCAGACCCCAAATCCTACCAGCTTTTCTGAGAGGCTCCTTCTAGGAACCATGATCAAAGGAGGCCAAGCGATCTTGACCCCAATTCACTTCAAACTAGAAAAGGCAGAGCCCACTCCCCCTGGAGCCTGAGTCACCACGCTGGAGCTGTGCCCCACCTGTCGCCCCGAGCCAAGCCTGCTTCCCCAGCACTGGGAGGATCTGGCTGGCCCCAGGCCAGCGGCCGGACTCACCGGGTGGCCGTCCACGTCCCTCTCCATGGTCTCCAGGGGATGAGCTTGCCAGCCTCAGCTGGTGTCCACAGGGTGACCCATGTCGGCCCCTGACTTCCAGAACATGTGGAGAAGGGGAGGCTGGAGGGCCGAGGGCCAGCCCCTACCCAGTGGGGCGGGGAAACTGGTGGCATGTGTGAAGTAATCCCAAGTATAAACAACACTGCAAAACTAGCCAGACCTGTCCCTCCGCCCCGGACCCGAATACCAGGAGTGTGAAGGAAGCTACCTTTGCTCCTGAAACTGCTCCCACGGAAGCTGCTGTAGGGAAACCAGAGGTCTAGGGGTTCAGGAACCCCGCTTTCAGAAGGGCTGAGGCCCTGGGAGGATGGTGTCAGCTCTGTCAACCTGAGCCCCTGAAGCGGGTGCTCCCAAAGCCTCTGAGGTAGGACCACATCTTTCTTGGGGACATCCAAGACCAGGGACCAGAGCCACACCCAGGCCAGGCCATACCGTCATCTGCAAGGACATGTCCAAACCCCACATCGAGGCAAATGCTCTGACCAAGATTTCTTCTCTCCACTTGGTTTATTTCAATGGAAACCCCTAACAGAGAAACGAAAACCAAATGGCCTATAATTACGCTCCTAATGGCTTGCTTCTATTGAAAACAATCAAATGCTGTGAAACAACATGTGAAAGTCAATTACAAGGAAACATAAATATCTGACTAGAAACCGTTTCTAGGAATTCTGAGCTGACTACGGGCCCCGTTCTGTTCATCAGAAATCAAATGGAACCGAGGAGGAGCTATTGTGAAGTGAGTGCTTCGGTTAAGGGTGGTAGAAAGATCTGGAAACAGAGAAGGGTGGGGGGGGGGGGGGGTGTTGGCAAATGCTTCTCGTTACGCATCTGTTTACCACAAACTAATTGGGCGCTGACCGCCTCCAATCCCAGCTTAGCTTCTCCCAGGAATGGCAAAAGGAGCTGAAGGTGAGTTTTGCAAAGACTTTTCCTGCCTCTGAGCCTTCAGGTCATAGAGGTGGCCCGGCAGAAGTGTCAGAGCTGGAAGGACGGTCATCTAGTCTCCCAGCCTCCTCATGGCCAGAGAGGCTAAGGAATCTGCCCCAAGTCCCCGGAAACAGCATGGCCAGAGAGCACCCAACGTGGCGCACCCAACGGCCAGGCGCCCTCCGACGCTCTCTGTGCAGTCCTGCAGGCATCCCTGACACCAGCCCATTCACCAGCCCTCCCTCGAGTCACCCAACAACTGTCTGTGACACATCTGGCAAGGTTGTAGGTGCTGGGGACCGCGGGGACAAATAGACCAAGATCCCTGCCCTCGGGCACTCGGGGTGGGAGGTGGGCGGAGGGCGAGTAAACAAAAGAATACATAGCTTATTGGAAGGTGAGGAGACCCAGACAGAGAGACGAAAAACGGAAGGAATCCAGAGGTGGAAGAGGCGGTCGGACGTTGAGATGAGGCAGTGAGGGATGTCTCTTGGGGGGACCGGGGTGGGGGGTTGGGGCGTGGCAGAGTGAGGACTTCAAGGGCGTGACCGCCGTTCTCCCTAGGTACACACGAGCAAGCGGACGTGCTGGCCCGGAGCAGAAACAGTCCCTTCTGGTTTAGGGTCACCCTAGGGAAATTTAATCCGGGGAGAGACTTCTGGAGGGCCAGGCAGGGACCCTGGGGTTCTCTCAGCTTGAGTTCCTTCAGATGCCATGCCCGTGGCTGTGCCCTGACCAGCTCATTGGAGAGAGGCCCTCTCCACACAGGTACCCAGTTCTGCGTAGCTGCAGCTGTGGCCTGGGCCTGCCTCCTGCTGGCCCGGGGAAGGGGAGGTGTGCTTACCTTGGCCACCACAAACCAGAAGGTTACAGGACTTTGGCATCTGCCCAGATGTAAGGCCCTCCACTTGGCCCCCCAGGGAGATCTCTGACCTCAGAGAACCTCTTCAGAGAATCAACATTGGCCTCTGGACCGAGCCTGAGCTTGGGTTTGGTTTCAGGGTCAGGCAGGGGCGTGGAAAACCCTCCTCTGGTTGAAGCCCGGCTGCATGACCTTTGAAATCCTCAACGTTACCACCTGGGAAAATGGGAATGCTATCGTTGACCAGAGAAGGTGTCTGGCCCCGGGCAGGCCCTGAGGAGAATAGCAAAACTAAACGAGACGAAGCAACCCCATGGCTGTTGTCTTGAATCTGACTTGACGCACACCCACCCCCCAGGGGGCTGTGTCTTTCCTCAGCCGAGCGGCAGGTGGGTTCAGCCACTGGCTTTTCAATAGGCAGTCGAGTTCTTCAATCCTGCACCGTGGGAGCGCAGACGAGACTTCTTTTCCTTGTTCTTCATCAGACAAGGGTTGGCCCATGCCCAGCCCTTACTGACCATGCTGTCTGCCTATGTGGAATCCCTGCAGGCCATCAGTTCAGCTCAGCCAGTACTGGTACCCTGTTTCCCCGAAAATAAGACAGTGTCTTATATTAATTTTTGCTCCCAAAGATGCGCTAGGTCTTATTTTCGGGGGATGTCTTATTTTTCCATGAAGAATACAGTACACATTTATTTTTTATTGCTTTATTAAAAGAGACCTTGCACTTCCTGTCTGCTCCGGCTGCGCTGCAGCCAACGGTGAGCTGCGCAGCAGCGCTACTATGGTCCAGAGTCCAGAGTTACGATAGCTTGCGGGGAAGGGCTTATTTTGGGGAAGGTCTTATTTTCGGGGGATGTCTTACTTTCGGGGAAACAGGGTAGCTGCTGGGTGAGGGGGTGTAGGAGGCCCACAGTTTATGGGTTGTGGCTGGGGGCCAGGGGGCACACGGAGGCAGGACATTCTGTGCTTGTAGTTTTCCCTTTGCCAGAAGGGGAAAAACTAGGGTCGCACAAGACCCGGACTCTTCCCCCAGTGGAGCCAGTGTTAGGTGCCGCAGGCCTGCCCCTGATTTGTGCGCCTGGCCCCAGCCTGGCCCTTCCCTTTCCTGCCTGTCCACTCCCCGCCTGCCTACACTGCTCCCTGCCTGCCCCATCCCAGCCTCGCTTTGCCTCCATCTCCCCAGACACTCATCCTGCCTTTCTCCCTCGCTCCCTGGCTGCCTGCTGGCAGGATGCCTTCCAGGACCAACCTGACCACTCACCAACCAGGCCTATCAGCCACTGGGGGACCCCTGGGTCTTAACTAGGAGCCAGAATCATTAAGAGCCTGGTTGTTTCCCACCTCTGGGTCATTTCCAGTTCTGGCCTGGGTAGGGTAGAGGGGTGCTGAGGGGGTGGGATGGATCACACAGATCAAATAGATGATACAGGGAAATGAAGGGGTGGGATGGACGTGCCTCAAGGCTGCCAGCTGAGAAAGAAAGATCACACTGGAGGGCACCCCACCTCTGGGCTCTGGCAGCTCTGGCCACCCACTGCCCAGCTGCAGCTGGGGATTCAGAGCTCCGGGGCCCGCTCCGTGGCTCAGTCTTGGTATGCCCCTCCCCGGCACCAGCATAGTCGTCCATCAGCACTGTTTTCTAGATCCCCCTGCAGCAGCTACAGCCCTGACTGCCTCGCCAACTTCTTCCTCAGATGCCTGAGGGTTGCTCTGAGCTTCCTCCCTCACATGCCCTGAGATGTCAGCCTCTGCTTCTTCCCTCTGTGCCCACCCTCCCTCCCTCTGACTCCCCATCACTCAGAGCACAGCAGGTGGGCTGTGGACATGGACCACACACTTGGAGGCCAGGTAAGGCAGGGAGAAGACACCAGGCTCACCCTTCAGAGCATGTGCAACCAGAAGAGACCCCCCAGGAACCTGAGTTCTTCTCTGAGCAGGCCCCGCCTACCCCCCCACCCCGAGTCTAATGTGTCCCCAGGCTGCCCTGGCTCACTCGGGGCTGTGGTTCTCCACATTTTTAGCTGCTATCTGCGTTCTCTAGACTAAGTGACCGGTCATGCCTGGCTGTTTTTCCCACAGGGCTGGCCCTACAGTCAGGTCAGTGAGGGCACACAAGTTAAAAAGGTGCAAAATTCACAGCAATCTGTTCCTTTTATTAGTGAATAACAGAAACTCGCGTGTTCACACAGAGGAAGGGACTGCAGCATTTTGTGGGAAAATTCCATTATCTTTCCATTCTGTTTCTCTACAGACAGTCTGAAGCCACACTATCTTTACTAACAAACAAACAAACAAACAAATGCAAACACACCCCAGTAATCCAGATAAGTGACATTTTCTGTAGATTTGCTTGTTTGTTCGTTTGTATCTTCTTGCTCCGTTCAGACGTAGGTTGTTTCTTTAGAGAGTGGGTGCCCCACGTCCTTCTCAGGACTTCTCCCTAACCCTTTGCTTGTTGCGTTGCTTGTTTCTCTTGTCCACTGTAGTAGAGGGGTTGTCTTCAGGTTCCCGATTCGATTTTCTGTTTCCTCTTTCTGTGACTCAGATCTTTACTTGTGCTCTGTTATCCGCGTTCTGTTATCTTACTGTTTATCCCCTGGCCCTCCTTCGGGTGCAGAGTTTCTAGGGCTTCCATGCCTTCCCTTGTTCTCACTTCAGGATTCTATTTCTGGTCATTCCAGAGCCTCCTTTGCCCCAAACTTTCCTTTTAAAAAAATCATTGTATCGGGGGCACTTACAGCTCTGATCACAATCCATCCATCCGTGGTGTCAAGCACTTTGGTACATATGTTGCCATCATCATTTTCAAAATACTTTCTTTCTACTTGAGTCCTTGGTATCAACTCCTCATTTTTTCCTTCCCTCCCTCATGAACCCTTGATAATTTATAAATTATTATTTTCATATCTTACATCATCCACAGTCTCCTTTCACTGACTTTTCTGTTGTTTGCCCCACCCCAGGGGGAGGGGGGCTTATATGTCAATCATTGTGATCTGTTTCTCCCTTTCTCCCCCTACTTTCCCTTATCCTCCTGGTATGGCTACTCTCAATCTTGGTCCTGAGGAGTTTATCTGTCCTGGATTCCCTGCGCTTCCAGCTCTTATTTGTACCAGTGTACATGCTCTGGTTTAGGCAGATTTGGAAGGGAGAATTGGGGTCATGATAGTGGGGGGAGGAAGCATTAAAGAAATAGAGGAAAGGTGTGTGTTTTGTTGGTGCTACACTG